CGGGTGCCTGTAGTCCCAGCTACTTGGGAGGCTGAGGCAGGAGACTCGCTTGAGCCCAGGAGTTGGAGGTTGCTGTGAGCTGTGATGCCATGGGACTCTACCCAGGGGGATAGCTTGAGGCTCTGTCTCAAAAAAACACAACTAGAGATAGGGTCTCACTTTTGGTCAGGCTGATCTCAAACTCCTGAGCTCAAGCAGTCCGCCCATCTTGGGCTTCCAGAGTGCTAAGAATATAGGCATGAGCCTCTGCATCCAGCCCAGAAAAAATTCTTATAAAACTGAAACTAACTCTTTTACACCCAAAATATATTTTCTTCCACCATATATTTTTTTACAGTTTTAATAGCATTACTGAATTGTGTTTTATATATCAAAATTCACCCATTTCAAGTGTACAGCTTAAATGATTTAGTAACTTAAGTGAGGGATTCAAGTATCACTCAATAAAAATCCTTCTTGTCTGTTTACATCAGTGGTTCTCAACCTGTGGTCGTGACCCACAGGAAATGTATTAAAGGGCCATGGCATTAGGAAGGTTGAGAACCACTGATTTACAGGAAATCCTGTTCTTTCCTTCAGCCCCAGGCAACCATTAAACTATTCTCTATCTCTAAAAATTGTGTTTTCTGGCTCGGCACCTGTACTTCAGTGGTTAGGGTGCTGGCCACACACACCAAGGCTCGCAGGTTCGGACCTGAGCTAGGCATTGTGGCGGGTACCTGTAGTCCCAGCTACTTGGGAGGCTAAGGCAAGAGAACAGCTTAAGTCCAAGAGTTTGAGGATGCTGTGAGCTGTGACACCATAGCATTCTACCAGGGACACCACAGCATTCTACCAACGTAGTGAGACTTTGTCTCAAAATAAATACAAATAAAAATTTGTCTTTTCTGGGCATTGGATAAAAATGAAATAATGAAATACATTTTTTGTGTTTGGCTTCTTTCACTTAGCATGTTCTCAAAAAGATTAATCCATGAAATAGTATGTTTTAATAGTTCTTTTTTATTGCCAAATAGTTTTTCTTTGCATAGATATACCACATTTTGTCCATTTCCTATACCATTTTAAAAATGTACTACTTCTAGAGTGAATCAGACATTTGCCAACCTTGCTAGGTATGATATAGTGGCCAAGCCATAATGTCTTTTTAATGCATTAATCCACTAACTATGCTCTGATGTTATATAGTAAAGATTTCACTGTTTGAAACTATGACTGTATTCAGGGACTATTTGTTCTGTTATGAAATGGACCTACGCTATTGAACTTGGATTCTTGTTTCTGCATGTTATAGTTCTTCGTTCCCCTCTGTTTACCATCTGTACTGCTGTTAGTGTGCCTGTTGCTGGCAGCTTCCCTGCACCACTTTTGTAGGAAAAAAGACCATGGCTAAATTCTAGGAATATTTTCCACTAGTGAAGTTGGAAGAAAATAGAAACATTGTGGATTTCGTTTTGGCCACTTTGAAACTCATTTGTACCTTTTCTGTACTTTAAACTGTTTTCCAGATTTCTCTTTTATGAGGTATTTAGGATAAGAAAAATGACTAAAACACTAGGTTCAAACATATATTTCAAAAAAGGCAGAAGTGCGAGTGCATAGTAATATACCTTTACAAATTAATATCTCTTACACTAAGCATTTACACAAAATTTTGGTAAATCTTATTTTAATCATGTGAACATTTATCATATTTTCCCTTTAAAGCCATGTCGGAATTTAAGTTGTAATGTCTTTGTTAAAAAGATTTAATATGACTTTGCTTACATAGTATGTTTAGAAGAAAAAGTTGAAAGCTACTCCCTTGAAACTCATATTCTGTTTAAACTTTGATGTTAAAGGTGCTTCTCAGAATGAAGATGGCTCCAGACCCAAGGATGAAACAAGGTAAGAGTTCACCGATCGCTTACCACGAAATGCAGAATGATAGAAAGGAGACTTGATAGATTCATTTTAGTCAAAACTTTAAGTTCAGATTGCTAGCAATAAGAATAAATTAGTGTGAAAAACAATTTAGAACTTGAATGTGAAAGATTAAAGACTCCGACCGTAGCTATCTATAGTAGTCCAGATATAACCACATTCTGATACTTTAGCTTGTAGAAATTAAATATATCAGGTTGATATTTATCATATATATCAGGTGGCTTATACCTGTAATCTCAGGACTTTGGGAGGCTGAGGTGGGAAGATTGCTTGAGCCTGGGAATTCAGGACCACTGTCTCTACAAAAAATTAAAAAATTGCCCAGGCCTGGTGGCATCACACCTGTAGCCCCAGCTATTCATGAGGATTACTTGAATTGGAGATTGCAGTGAGCTATGATCATGCCACTTAACCCCAGCTTGGGAGACAGAGTAAGTCCCTGTTTCCAAAAAAAGTAAATGTATCAGCACTTTTCCAAAGACAGCAAATTCTGAATCCCAGGGTCATCCCTGTGCTGTTAAGCTTCTTTTCTAGGAAAGGTGAAATCTGAGTTTATGTGTATGTGAGGGTCATGACTAACTGTGGTTTCTTCTGGGCCTTTAGTACAAGGGGCAGAGATTTGTACTGTTTGCTGTTAGCTTAGATTTAGCGCTTCTGGGTGCCTGTCTTCAGGTTGGGGCCTAAAAACGATTTAAAGCCCTGGGTTATGTTAATCAGTATAACAAACTTTGTGTATTGTTTATCCTGGAAACTGGTAATATATAAAGTGAAGAAAAGGAGATGATTAAAAAAAAAAAAAAAGACAGAAAAAGGGCATGCCTATGGCTCAAAGGGGTAAGGTGCTGGCCCCATATGCTGGAGGAGGCAGGTTCAAACCCAGCCCCGACTAAAAAAGAAAGAAAGGAGATGATTATACTCTTAAACCAGTAAGTGACATGTCTTAGTTACAAAGTGTAATGGTAAAAAAATTCCATAGTTTTTCCTTAAGTGGGTTAGTAGCAGGTAGGAAGGTTATGATGAACTGTATGAGTAGTCAGAAGAGCAGAAGAACCAGAAAAGTGGTGTCACAGAATTCAAGGGAAAATTAAAGACAACTTATCAAGATCTTCTGGAAATTCAAAGTTTAATATTTATTTATTTATTTTAAGAGACAGAGTCTCGGCTAGGCGCCTATAGCTCAACCGGCTAGGGCGCCAGCCACGTACACCTAAGGTGGCCGGTTCGAATCCAGCCGGAGCCGCCAAACAACAATGACGGCTGCAACCCCAAAATAGCCAGGCGTTGTGGCGGGCGCCTGTGGTCCCAGCTACTTGGGAGGCGGAGGCAGGAGACTCGCTTGAGCCCAGGAGTTGGAGGTTGCTGTGAGCTGTAATGCCACGGCACTCTACCCAGGGGGACAGCTTGAGGCTCTGTCTCAAAAAAAAAAAAAAAAAAAAAAAAAGAGACAGAGTTTCACTTTATTGCCGTCGGTAGAGTGCAGTGACATCACAGCTCACAGCAGCCTCCAACTCCTGGGCTTAGGTGATTCTCTTGCTTCAGTCTCCTGAGTAACTGGGACTATAGGTGCCCACCACAAGGCCCAGCTATTTTTTGTTGCAGTTTGGTTGGGGTCGGGTTCAAACCCACCACCCTCAGTATATGGGGCCGGCGTTCTATGTACTGAGCCAAGGTGCTACCCAAAATCAAAGTTTATAATTATGTGTCTTACCTTATGGAAATCTATCTTCACAGAGTCAACTTCCTGTGAGATAGAATCATCTCCTATGCTAATTTCACAAGAAGTAGAATATTAAGGAGTTACAACTTTTTGCCCAAAGAGTACCTTTTATTTTTCACTATGATTAAAAACAACAGGCCAGGCATGGTGGCTCACGCCTTTAATTCTAGCACTCTGGGAGGCCAAGGCAGGTGGATTACCTGAGCGTACGGGTTCAAGACCAGCCTGAGCAAGAGCAAGACCTCATCTCCAAAAATAGCCAGACGTTGTGGCAGGTGCATATAGTCCAGCTACTTGGGTGGCCAAGGCTAGAGAATAACTTGAGCCCAAGAGTTTGAGGTAGCGTGAGCTATGACACCATAGCACTCTAATGGGGGTGACAAAGTGAGACTCTGTCTCAAAAAAAAAGCAACTGAAAGATTTTAAAAATTATATAAACATCTTTGTAGTCTGAAGAAAACTTATGCCTCTTTATGCCATTTTTTAGTATTATTTTTAATAGAAGATTTCTTGAATTCCTGAAATATCCCCCATAAAATGTTTCATTATAATAGTTTAGTTTGATTTGGTCAGTTAACTCCTCTTGCGTAATAAACTTGTATGTGCATTGTTAAATGGGAATGTGATAGAATTTATTTATTTATTTTTTGAGACAGAGTTTCCACTTTGTTGCCATGGCATCGTAGTTCACAACAACCTCAAACTCTTAGGCTAAAGCTGTTCTCTTGCCTCAGCCTCCCAAGTAGCTGGGGCTGCAGATGCCTTCCACACCTGTGGTTTTTTCTGTTTTTGGTAGAGATGGGGTCTCACTGTTGATCAGGCTTGTCTCAAACTTCTGAGCTCAAGCAATTTACCCACCTCAGCCTTCCAGAGAGCTAGGATTATAGACAGGAAACACCATACCTGGCCATATTATGTTCCTTAAAAGGTTTTGTTAAACTACTGTTGTTGCTATTTGGTTTTTTGCAAGTCTCTTTCTTAAAATACTTTTCTGAAATGACTGATACTCTGGACATATATAAATTTCTTGCAAAGGCATTGCTAGAGCCCCTGCTTCATGACATTTATTTAATCAAGGTTGTATATTTTCCCATGTGAATTATTGTCCCATGAGGAACAGTTTCTTCTAAGTTTCTGAGACTACCTGACAACTATTTGAGTTTATCTTTTGTGTTAAACATGAATTCTTGTGCATGTGCTTATATTAAGGAGCACACTCTTCTGAGATGATGAGTTTGTTAAACATTTCATAAGCTGTCAAATCTTAATATACGGTAATGTTTAGTAATCATGGCTGTGACTGCCTTTTCTCCTTTGCTTTTGTTGGCAGATTTCATAACTGTAAAACTAAAATATAGGGCAACAAGCAGGGGGTCCAGTGAGCCCCCTTTTTTTTTTTTTTTTGAGACAGAATGTCACTATGTTGCCCTCGGTACAGTGCTGTGGTGTCACAGCTCATAGCAACCTCAAACTCTTGGGCTTAAGCAATTCTCTTGCCTCTGCCTCCCAAGTAGCTGGGACTACAGGCGCCTACCACAATGCCTGGCTATTTTTTGGTTATAGTTACATTGTTTGGCAGGCCCAGGCTGTGTTCCAACCTGCCAGCTCCAGTGTTATGGCTGGTGCCCTAGCTGCTGAGCTACAGGTGCTAAACCAAGCTACATGATTTTGTGAGGATTTTTTTTCCTTATCCTTGGTGTGGTATATCACAATAAGTATGCACAAACTTTCTTTTTTTGTGCTAAACAGTTTTTGTTAGTGTTTGTGTATTTAATGTGTGGCGCAAGGCAACCTTTCTTCTTCCAATGTGCAGCAGAGAAAAAAACAAGTTGGACACCCCTAATAATGAACAAGGGCTTTGTGTACCCCCTACTCCCTGTAGTGTAATAACCAAGCCCCCAGCCCTTGACCCCCTCCCTAAGATCAGTGGGGAACGAGCCCCCTACCCTTGAGAAGGAAACTTCTCCTAAGCCTTTTAGTCCCAGCCCCCTCAAAGGTAAAGAGCAGCCTGAAATTAAGGAAGTATGCAGGGAGGGGTTGAGCAAAGGGATGAGTTGAGTCCCTGATGAAAAGGTCCCAAGTTATTCTCAGAAAATTACCCAACATTTGTTTTGTACCCCTGAACTATGTGACCCTCATCTTATGATCATGAAGTAATGTACTTGTGATGTATCTTGTAATTTATGAACCAATATGTACCCCCACCCTAAGTTGTATAAATGATGTACTCTTACCTTGTAACCCCTGAGCTGTATTGAGTTGTGGTAATTGGTTTCTGTATTGCACTAGTTTGCTGACTATGCATGATTATGCAGAATAATAGTATAAAAGGATTTCTCACCCACTATTTGAGGCTGCTTGTTGGCCCACCACAACAGCCCCCTGCAGGTGCACTTGCAGGTGTATTAAATTCCTAATAAATTTCTATTAATTACATCTGAAGAGGGGTCCACCCTTCTCTCGCATCTGCTGTCTTATTTCATTTGTTGTCATTACTAAGCATCCTTAAGTTATTTTACCTGTTTTTCCTAATTCTCGCATTATCCATATCATGAATGTAGTTTTGTTGATTTGCTTTCTCCATTATATGTCTGAATGCTCTATATGTCTGTCATTTACCGAGATAATTGGTGCCTCCTGGTCCAGGATTTTGTACTAATTACTTTTCAAAGCTAATGGTGGTGGTGGTGGTTTCACTGATAATTGTGATTTGTGTATAGATTTCTAAATTAGTTTTCAAATCTAGTTTTAGCTTCACACGTCATTAGAAGTACTTAAACTTGTAAAAGAACTAATATCAATCACCAGTGCTATTTAGTATGGCCATGCTTCTCATACTTGATAGAACACATCAGAATAACTTTGACATCTTGTTGAAGATTATTAAGTCCTATCTACAGTTCTGGATTTATAAAGTTTAAGATGGGGCTCAAGATGTGCATCTCTAGCAAATTTTTAGGTGATGCTGATACTGTTACACCTATAATTTGAGAATTGCTGTGGTTAGGCACACATTTTTCCAAATTACAACAAACTATTTTGGAAAATACGTTCAGTTACATAACAGCTCTGTTTCTTGAATGTCTGAACTTGTGGTACTTGCTTGAAATGTTACTCCATCTTAATCTTATACTATTTTACTTCAGAACTAGTTTGAATCTTGTCTTTCTTTTTCTTAAGAGGCAGAGTCTCTGTCACCCTGGATAGAATGCTCTGGCATCATAGCTCACAGCAACCTCAAACT